ACCCACTCCCGCAGCCATCTCGCCATCTCCTCTCCAGTTCTCTCAATTGTCAATCCATCTTCCACGCATTCGACGCCTTCGATTCTATGCCGCCGTTATCCTTCTCTGCATTGTAGATCTCTTCTGGGTGCATACACCTATGCCTTATGGGGGGTCGGCTGCCGTTAGATTCATGATCTCTTCCGCTGGTTCTTGTTTCCTGTTCCTTTCCTCGCTACTTTCGCTCCAATCTCACATATTCCCATCATCGCATGACCTTACCGATATATTCTCCGGAATGCGGATCTTGGGAATTCGCCCACTATTCGAACGAGGTTGAACTGAAGAACTCGAGCCTGTGCATGACGTCCTTACATCCTTCCATTCCTGCTGCTTGTCCCCCCAATTGCCAGCTTACACGTCGAAACTGCAACCACTCTTGATGGTCATGTCAAGCTCTCAGTTCGCCACACCACAGGATGTTGCGCCAGCGCCGGCAGACAACGAAAGTGTGGTTGCCCCACGGAAGAGGAGGAAACGCGCACCTGCTGCTGGTGCGGCTGTGGACTGCTTCACCTGTACAAGTCGGAGTGTTCAATGCGACCGACGGAGACCGTACTGCTCCCGATGCTTGGACGATGGCAAGGACTGTGCTGGCTACAAAACTCAATTAACCTGGGGCAATGGAGTAGCAAGCAGAGGCAAGCTTCGAGGCCTTTCTTTACCCATTGCTGGCACTCAGAAGTTGTCGGCATCCAATTCACCGCCCAGACCGAAGAAGAGGACATTACCACCACCATCTTCCCGCGTACCTCAGTTGCAACACATTCTTAATGCTTCCCCAGATGCTCGCCCCACCATCTCCTCGGAAGCGCAATCCCCAGAATCAGCCACCAACGGCAACGTAGCCTTCCAATTTGGTCTATCTCATCCGCCTCCGATTACGCCCTCTTATGCCACGGCTACTAGTCCATGGAGCCCTCCACCAGAAGTGCCCGGAGTCAAAATAGCGCCGAGAATCTCTCCGTATACGGCTGCGTCTTGGGCACCGTCTGTTGTCCACGGAGGCCCTGTTGGTGACGGTCTTCGACGGCCTAGTGCTGTATACAGCAGGAGCGATCGAGTGTCGCCGATGTCACACTCTCCACCGTCGCCCGAATCAGCATACTTTGGACGAGTCTTAAACCACGACTCGATGGGTGTGCCGGCTACTTTGCCTCCTTATACCGAGTCTCCTCGAGTCACATCCCCATTTGGTGGGTCGTTTCCTGAGCAGGGGCAGTTTTCCGTTTACCAGAGACAGGACGACCGTATTTTCAGCAATGAACTAGATGTTTCGGCACTTCTACCACAAGGAATGGAACAAGTCCTTCCCCAGAGCATTGACGATGCTATTGACGGCGAGGTTGAAGAAGTACGTCGAGTCGCGTATGAAAACGAATGTGCCATTGTCGAAGATGATTCTGCGGTTGGCTTTCCTCAGTGGTCGCTGCACGACTACAGCCTCTCGCTCTCACCCTTTGCAGGTATTACAGCTATTGGCGCAACCCCACGGATGCAATATTTGATACAATACTACACTGAGGTCATCTCGCCTGTGATTGTGGCCTTTGACGGCCCTTCCAACCCGTATCGAACTCAGATTCTGCGGCTGGCGGGGAAGAGCGAAACGCTTCAACACGCGATAGCCGCATTGGCAGCAAGTAACCTGAGACAGCGGCGGGAAACTGGATTATCGACGGGCAAGACAGATCCAGCGAGGAGGTCGTCCATGGCCCACCTCACCCTTACGAAAGAGGACTGGCATGAGGCAGGCTTGTTGACTCCGCAGGAGCAAGCACGTGAGGAATCCCTTCATAAAGGCATTGCTATTCAATCTCTCAATATGCAACTCGCTGATCCTGTTCAACGGATGGACGATTCGATTCTGGCCACACTGCTTATTCTGTGTCTATTCCACATCTGTGATTCAGGGATTGCAAAGTTCCGCACACAATTTGCTGGTGTCAAAAAACTCCTTTCCATGCGCAAAAACGACTCAGGTTTGAATACGAGGGAGGCTAAATGGTTCACACGGATGTTCACCTGGTTTGATGCAATGACTGCCACGGTCAACGATCGCGAGGGACAGCTCCAGGGCTACCACCTGGACGTGTCCGCCCTATCAGACGAAGAATGGGCGCTGGAGAATCTTGCTGGTTGTGACGGTAATTTGTTCAAGATAATTGCCAAACTGGGTAGGCTGAATGTGTTGAGCCAAGGCAAGTCAGTTGAGGAAAGTCCTGCTATTGTGTCTCGACCGGTGCCCACGATGTCTTCGGCACTGCACTTTGACTACAGCAAGTTCGACGGCAATGGATGGATGCGGATCGCTGAGGATGACGAATTGTTCTCCAGCAAAGTGACAGAACCCGATGTGAAGACACAGTTCTGGCGAGAATGGAGGGAAACTCGACAGGCCTTGCTGGCTTGGCAGTTAGCTTCGAGTCTTCACGAACGCCCCAACCTTGGAGTGCCTTACTTGACCGATGAGCAGCGCGTCGACCTCGGGAATATATCTGAGTCCTTCAGATATTCTGCGCTGTTATATACCGAGCGCTTGGCCCATCCACAAGTCCCCAGTACGGACTTGGCCATCCGTGGATGGGTACAAGAATGTCTGAAGTACATCAAAGCTGTCAAGTCGGATGTGTACCTTCTCTGGCCCTTGTTTATTACAGGCAGCGAATGCGTCGACGACCCTGATCGTGACGTGATTCGCCAACGATGCCTTGATATCCAGAAGGACAGTGGCTTTCTTAACAACAAGAGCTGCTTGGAGCTTTTGGAGAAGGTGTGGCGCAATTATGACGAGAAGAAGAAACCGAGTCTGTTCAGCAGCGAGTATGCAGACTCCTTTGGAGATGTGGATGACGAAACTGGCTTCAGGTTTACGACTATTATGAGAATGGAGAAAAACCAGGGTGAGTATATTGTCGTCTGACCGCGACGTACAGGACTGAGAAGAATTGAACATGTCGGAAGATCAGGTGCTATGTGACGTAACAAATTACATTGCAGTAAAGGATCTCAGAACCTCTCTGACGAAGGAATGATGGATAATTGGTTACTGTATAGTAGGAAAAGTTTTGGGAGCTTTGGTTCACGGTCGTAAATCCACTACTGATACGGATAGTGACCACTATCTCTGAAGATGAAAATCAATCAATATTTCTCGCCATGAGATCTGAAGTGAAAGAATCAATCGATGGTGTCGGGGGTTGTATTCAAGCAACGCAATACTCGGAAAGTGCAAGGCTGAGTTTGGTAGTTTTTGATTGGCTGAAAAAGGACCGACAGTAGATTTCAGTAGAAGAGCCGGATGCGCACCTGTTTCCTTGTGCATTCTCTTTTCCTGCCTAGACATTGTGGCATGTGTTACCACCGCAATCCACCGCCAGATCACAAACATGTCCAACCCCCCCTCTGGAACCTCGACGCCACGTGCCTTCGCGGCGCAGTCTGCTACCGCGGAAGACCTGCTGAAGTCGCAAACTGTCGGCCTGGTGAACCTGGCGGACTTCCGTAAGAGGCGGGCAGATGTGTTGGAACTGAAAGAGAAAGAGGCGAGAGAAGCGGCAGGATCCAGGACGAGGACGCCCGAAAGTGACGGGTGAGTTGAATAGTTCCTTGCTGTTCTCGAGGCACGGGCACTGGCCTTCCATCCTGCCTTGTGTCGTGTGGCTCATGGTTTCTTTCCTCTCAAGCGCTTCAAGGGCGGGGCTAATTTGCAAAGTACAGTGCAGCGGCGACACGAAAACCCGACCACGATGGACCTCCGAGTAAGAAGTTGAAGAAGAAAAAGATTGCAGGCAAAGGACTATTATCGTTTGGAGGCGACGAAGACGAGGACGCAGAGGGCGGAAGTACCGTCTCGTCGCCCGCAGTGCGAAGTTCGAGACCGTCAACCGAACCGTCGCCTGAACCATCCTCCATCACTCGCAAACTAACCCCCAATCCCAACTCGAATCTCCCTCCTCCCCGAGCAATCACAAAAGCGGCACTGGCCGCTGAGGCTCTGGAACGAGAAAGACTACGGAAAGAATTCCTTGAGATCCAAGATCGGGTAAAGGAGACGGAGATTGAGATCCCCTTTGTATTCTACGAGGCTGGCGCGAATGTGCCAGGTGGCAGCGTAAGAGTCAAAAAGGGTGATCATGTGTGGTTGTTCTTGGATAGGTGTAGAAAGGTGGGAGCTCAACTCGGCGTCTCTGGTTCTAGCTCAGGATCTGTCGGTGGTGGGAGCAGTGCCATGCAGAAGAGGCGCAGGGAGGACTCGAGGAAACAGTGGGCACGTGTGGGTGTCGATGACTTGATGCTCGTGCGAGGCGAAGTCATCATTCCCCATCACTATGAGTTCTACTATTTCATTGCGAACAAGATTCCCGATCCGAGTAGGGAAGGGAAGCTGCTGTTCGAGTACTCTGGGACAGCGGATGTCAGAAAGACTAACCCAGGCGGACAAGACATCGAGACCAATGCTCTGCTGCGGGTGCCTGGAAAGACGCAAGAGGTGCTGGAAGGGCATAACGACGACCCTACGCGGACCAAAGTGGTGGATCGAAGGTGGTATGAGAGGAACAAGCACATCTATCCCGCGATTGTATGGAAGGAGTTCAAGGCCGGGAAGGAGTTTGAGGAGATCGCAAAGGGAGGCAGAAGGGATGCTCAAGGCAATGCTTTTTTCTTTGGTTGATATGAACCTGATGACCACTGATGAATCGAAGCAATTTTACCCGTTAATGAAATTTCAGGATGCGCATCTCATGGAAGATAGAGTGCTGCTTTGTGAGGACACGGGGCAAGTGCAGACAAGACTGAACCTGATCGTCATCGCTCAATTGGCGCAGACGTGGCAGTGGCTGACATCGCGGCAGCCCGTGTCTTTTACCCATACCTATACACACTGCGATATCTCCGCTGCTCATCTAACTACTCTCCGTTCAGCCATTCACCATACCTCGTCTCCTCGACACAGAGCAATGGAGCAGCACTTGCGGTGCAACAATCAGCAGGGGGGCAGTTGTCGAGCTGCACTCACGGCGGAGGCAATTGTTACAACTTGCGCGCATGTTCCTCCTACAGTCATTCTGCTTCTCGCCGTCGTTCTAATCCGTCTCAGGCACATCTTTTGCATACCCTGCGCCGAGAAGACTGGCTTGTCGATAGCACCCCGGAATCAGCGTCGATGTCCTGTTTGCAAGACCGCCCTACCAAATGCCCACGATGCAGTCCGCAATCTGGTAAATCCACCCGAAGACTTCAAGACCAGCGTGCTTTGTGGCCTCGACCCCGCAAACATCATGGACTGTGCCCAGACGGCGCTTTCTTTCTGGACATACCAAAAGGCTCAGGAACTGTAACGTTTAATGCTTCGTCTTATAAGTGACCTTTCTGACGAGAGTGATAGTGCATATCAGCAACACATTGCTAGAAACCTGACGCACAGGCTCCACCAACTCAATGCAGAGGTTGAAAAGACTGTTAATGATGGCAATTCTCAAATTCAAGCTCTGGAGACACGGAATCAGCGTACGAAACTCTAGATATATCCACCAACGAAGAGTCCGCTAATCAGTGCACAGAACTCTCTACTGATGTACAATCATTGCAACAAAAGTATACGCAACTTTACGACCAGTATCAGGACAAGAGCAGGAAGCAAGCACAGACCCAGAAGCTCTACGATACTCTGAAACAGAAAGTCATGCTGGAGAAGATGGAGCCACTCGCTAAGAACGATGTAATTCAGACATTACAGTCCTTTTCTGCCTTGCCGCAAACCGAGAGGGTGCAGTCGGTCGTTGACTTGGGACAAGCCTTTCGCCCACAAGACCCTCCCCAGACAGCAGAAAGGCCAGCTCGTAGACATGGGCGCTTTCAAGAAGGTCACGAACGACTTCATCCACACCAACGGTCCGGGAGCAGTCTTAGTGGCAGCGAAAAGAGGGGCATGTTACCGCTCGAGAGGCCGCGGATATCGAGGATCTGTAGGTGGCCAGAACCCAACATACTGCTTGTGCTAAACTGCGGCAGCAAATGTGCTGGCTACTTCAGGAACCCCTTTGCAACGGACAGCCTTGCCAAACCAGCCTAATTTGGGTGTCAATCACTCCGGTTTTCCAACAACAGCTTCACGTTCTCAGCTTTCAGCAGGTGGTTATCATCTGCCAGGATCAGCATCTCATCGCCAGCACAACCGCCCGAGCAAAGTCGTGAATCCAGCCCAAAGCTACAGTGCCATCAGTTCAGGCATGAAAGTCGGTAGAGCAGGGACGTCTGGGTCAATCGACTTGGGTCCAAGGTTCAATCAATACGCTGGTATGTCTAATTCCCCTGCTGTACGCTCGAAACTAACTCCACATGGACAAAATCATGCATTCAGCGCAGCAGAGTGTGGATCATGCGACCCCGACTGCGCCATATTCAGCTGGTTATTGAGTTGACACAAGCGACGAGGTGCTCTGACCCGGAAAGAAATTCATAATAAGTTGCCTTGACAGCAGATATAGGCCATTCTCTTTACAGAGTAGGTAGATTTTGCTCCTCTATCTCATCTCATCTCATCTCGGTTCCTCAATTACTTTTCTCCAGAATCACTCTACTCGTATTGAGTGCCACTCAATGGTCTCAGCAGTTGTCCAAAAGAATCTATCCGTTGACCTTTTGTCAACTGCACCTTTACCAATCATTTCAGTAAGAGGCAAGGTCCAATTTGCCAGATTATTCTACCCAGCTATTGAAAGTAGCGATCGAAAGCTTTACACACGACTCGAGGCTATCTTCATCTTGCTTGAGCCATGAGAATACATTTGCCGTCGACCCGATTCGTCTCGGTACAGTAAGCGACGAGGCTGTCAAAAGAAGGACAGTTAACATGGATGGCAGACCTTCTAACCAATCGGTCTCATCTGGAACCAAAGGTATGGTGTTGGAAATGAAAACGTTACAGAAGCCAAGGCAGAGTGGCCTTCAGATCATTTTCAATAATCCGATCCTGTTGTCGTCCCTCGTCCAGAACTTTGATAGGAAAGACTATCACTGGCTTGCAGAACTTGCAGCTACCATTCCTGGTATCAAACCATGGCCCAAGTGGGAGCCATTGAGTCAACCTTTGCCTTTTGGCACCCTACCATTCAGCGTCAAGGACTTGCGAGTTAGATGCCAGAATTCGCTGCCAGAAATGCCACGACTTATGGCGGTAAAATCATCTCATGCCGTCCACAGTGAGGGCGGATGCAAAGAACTCGAAGGTGCAATGAGCTGGAAAGGGTGTGGCTTGACGGAGCGAGATCAAGGACTACCACCGAAATCTAAAATACACCGTGAAGGGCCTTTGGAGAGGCCTTTGGAATTCTTCGAATGTATCGGCCACAGGCTGAAAATCCGAGACCTCCCCCTGTCTGATATTGAGGAATGCCTGATCCAGCTGCAGCTTGTGATGGAGATATCTTCGCTTTCGGCCAACTCGATACGAGCTGCAGTACGGCTGCTACAGAATGACGGACCACAGCCAGTATTGGTGGATTTGCACGGGTTACACGGTTCTGAGTTTATGGTCTGCTCGAAATGCGCTCTCGATGTCTACCTCTCACTGAGCGTTTGTATATGGGATCATGCTCGAATCGTTCCACTCTGTCGAGAGTGCTCCGAGAATCCCTCCCGAGAGCTCTATAACTTCGAGGCGCAGGGCATGCCATCCATTGCAGAAAATATACGAGGCTTGAGGAATATCGATGACTATCTCGAATGTGACTGCCACGAGGTTCTATCGCCCGGCAATGGTTATCACCTCTGCACATTCTGTGCCGCCATGTTCCATTTGCTAATTTACCTGCAGCACCGGCTAAACAAAGCCTCGGGCATCTATCCGGACAGTGTGCCCTACCAAGTTCTAGAGATGGGCAACACCAGGAGCGGATATGGTCGCAACTATTGCCCCTGTGGAAAGGACTGGCATCAGCTTGTTGACAGCTGGTGTGGTATTTCTCAGGAGGAACGGGACAACAGAATGTACCGTCTCTGCACGTTATGTACGGGGCACGTACCACGTGGGAAAATGATGAATCCACAATCGACGAATTGTCTCTAACAGGGCGAGGGTAGCTGTGTATGCTCAAGGAACGCACGGGGCGGCAGAAGTCAGAGAGGCTGATGCTGGTGCGGGCGGTAATAGAGAATCTCCGTGATGGTTCGGCGCTAGCATGGTGTACTATGGAGGCGAAGCACTTGCATGAGGAAGCGGTCTGAGCGTTATGAGGACACGAAGAGCTTCGGAGGTCTAGCCACAAGTTACTGAGAAGTCCAACACAGCATCCTTGCTTAAGGTAACTACAAAGAGACGAGAGTGGACAAGACAAGACAGGTGCGCTTCATGAGCCGGGTGACAAGGCAAGAAGACAAGGCCATGAGAGTCGAGGACAGCAACGCCTTGGTATATAGCTTGATAGCTTCAGAGACATTGGAGCATTGAAGCATTGACATTGTACCTGACGATGGTCTCTTTCCTTTCTCTGAAACTCTGTCCACCGTTTCCTTAAGCTCTGGAACAACGTATTTTCTCCGACATGGTCCTCCATCCCCTTTCCGAAATACCAGAGTAGAACAAGCCGGTGGTCTTGCTGTGGTTCTTTCTTGTTTTTTTTTCTTGGCCTCGGTCAAGTCTCAGTTCCCAGTCTTAGTCTTGGTCACAGTTCCAGGCCAGTCCCAGTGCCAGTGACAATCGCTGACCACCTCGGAATGAGATAGAGATGTCATACACTTTCACTCAATAAACCACGCTCGCCCTCGCCCTGGCCTTCGTAGTACGACACTTCGATATGATATGTGGGGACATGGTCATGGTCACGGTCGGGTTGTGTTGGAGCGAGAGATCAGGAGACGTAATTGATCGGCCCCTTGAGCTTGTTCCGCGGATCGTGCAGTTTCTTCAACGAGAGCAGTTTGGGGAGATGTTCGGCGTAGACCTAGGAAGTGGGTCAACACGGAAAGAAGGGTAATAATCACAAGTACTGAGGAGCCCGGTAGACAAGTAGTTTAGTACTCCAGGGGAAAGGGGGAACAGGTGAAAAACTCAAGGGAAAATACGATGTCGAGGAGAGTGTCGTCGGGGTGTTCAACGGGGGCTTCTCCTTCAGATTTTCCTTTTCCGTTTCTTGGGGAGGTTCAGGATATTCAGGAAGAGGGAGAGGTGTGGAGAGAGAGAGAATGTGTGCGTGTGATTATCAGGTTGAGAGAGCGCAGAAACTATGTGATGGGATGGGATGAGTCTGGCACGGTCACTCACATCTTTCAGGTCATGGTACTCTTCCAGCGCGTTTGGCGCGTAGCGGATCCTCTGGTCGCCGTGTCCGTCGAAGACGATGCGCGGGGCGTCGTGGAGGAGTTGTCGCGCTGTGGTAAGTTTGTCGCTGTCGTCGTAGTCACCATCATCACCGCCACCGCCTCCATTACTCCCTTCTTCGGCCTCTGTGCTTTTGCCCCCAGCAGTAGCACCAGTTGTTGCATCACACCCGGCCGCGCAGATGATCGTGTTCTTCATCCTCAGCGGCCGCGGCCAGGCCGATGCCCCAGCCCCGCTCGTCGAATCCCGCGTGCAGAGACACTCGAAGACGAGTTGGGCGCTGTTGGCGATCGAGCGGTCGCCGGTGGCGCCGACGTGGTCGAACCAACGCACCGCGCCGAGGATCGTTTCTTCGCTCAGTGTCTCCACGATCAGGGGCTGCCACAGTGTCTTGAATCGGCCTTTGAGAGCGGTGGTTTGTTCTATTGATCAGCGAACCCCTGGGCCAACCTCGTAGAGGTGGCACGTTGGGGGTTGGATATGTTAGTATTTCTTCTTTTCTTTGGGGGGGTTTTTTTTACAAAGCATCGACGTATTGAGTGACTTCTCTCTCAGCCATGTATCTCTTTCTGCTGCACCTGTCTTTTATCTGGGCTGCCGCAAAGAAAAGTGTTGGGCGAGATTAGGCGTTCATGAGATGGATTTTGGGCGCAGAGAGCTAACAAACTTACCGTGCATCTGCGAGACACCGCGTAGATTGGTGACTCGTGTCATGTCCATCGCCCCAGGAACATCAAGCGCCCACTTGAACCCTTCTTCCGACCGGCCGTGCTCACGGCCCAGAGCGTCGAACGCCTGCACGATCAGCAGATCTTCCGTCGCGCCCATGTGCGCCGCTTGTTCTTTCTTCACCACGTACAGGTCCATCGAGACCTGGGGTGCCAGAGTCTCCGAGCGGGCGTTCATGGACGCAATGCTCCCGGCCACGAGGGCGAGCTGGCGCCGCGGGACGATGATGGGCCCAGCGTAGATGTCCTGGGGACACGGGTGGGCGCGCAGCTTGAACTTGGTGACGACGCAGAAACTCGCGCCGGCGCCGCGCAAGGTCCACAGCAGGTCGGGATCCTGCGAGGCCCAAAGGACAGTCCCGTCCATCTTGACGACCTCTGCGTCGAGCATGTTGGCCGGGTCTGACGTGTTGCCGTATTGGCGGGCCAGCCAGGAGAAGCCTCCCGAGAGGATGCTGCCCCCGATTCCCAGAGCTGGTGTACGTGCAGCGACGACTATTTTCCTCATCAAGAAGAGACAGGAATATTCAGTTAGCCGAGATTCAATCACTTCACCATTGTGTTTTTTGTTTTCGAGGGAACAAGGGTGGTGGGGTATTCCACGTCGTCGTTATATACCGTGATATTCTGGAGCCACTCGATCCATCTTCTCATAGTAATCCCTCCAGAGCTGTCCCGCGCCCAGTGTTAAGATCTCCTTTTCGCGATCCCAGCTGAACTCGTCGAACGCCTCCATGCTGATGAGCACGTCCCTGGCCGAGGCCGAGCCATACCCGGAACTGCGAACCGCCATGTCCAGGTCCGAAGTCGACAGGTATTGCAGGACCTTTGACAGAGACTGTGTTGAGCCCGGCCGGACGACGAGACGGGGATGCAGGTTCTTCTGGGCCGCCCATGTCGAAGTATGTGAGTCGTACCGCTCTGATGATGGGAGGATGACTTCGGGCTCGGACAGCAGCGAGCGAAGGTGGTCCAGCTGCTCAGTAATAGACTCCGCCATTGTGTCTGATGAAATAGCTCGTTGATACCAAAGCCACGGGGCGTGAACGCAAAACGAGGTCTCGAGTTGATTGAAGAAGATTGTAGAAAGGAGCGCTTGTTGCTTGCTCCTCCTTCGAGCCTTTTTACCTTTTTTTCCCTTTGTGCCTGCTAGGGGAGTGAGATTTGGGAAGAGGGAGACTGAAAGGCCTGACATCGTGGGACATTTATCGCTTCTTGAATCCCTGACTGTAGTGCTGATTACAAGGAAATTTACTCTCCACGGTAAGATCGTGATCCGTTTTGATCCTATGCGGCTGTATACCTGCAGCACCGCACATGTTTTGTCCAACCATGGCTCGTGAGAGGGCGGGTGTAGCGGACCGCTATCCTTGCCTAGATGAAGCAGTTCAGGCGTTGCAGAAGAGTCGACGTGGATTCTTGGGGGCAGGACGCCTCAATTGTCCTCTCCCTCGCGGGTTTTCCGTGACCTGGTGGTGCGCTGGTTGTGTGCAACATATCGCTGACCGGCGCGCCTGGTCGGCTTATCCCCTAGAGAAGTAGTCGATGATGCCTTTGAAGGAGGGAATGCCTTGTATACCTGGCTGCATTGGGGTTTACAGGCATGGTATTGTGAACAGCTCTACGAGTAGGAAGGCAGAGGTGGTGGTTGTAGCTTAGCGCAGCCTCGAAACTGCGCAAGGCTGAGTTCAAACACAAACAACAAAAGAGAAAACACGACCAATAATGGCGCCACTGTCATTGACACTTGATGATTCCTTGTTCGTACATAGATGATCGCGTCTCGCTCCACTTTATGGCGAGCCGTATAAGATCAAGCAAGATCTTTCAGATGAGCCGCCCCCCGGTCCTGTACGCCTGTTTATTGAACAGTAGGGTGTGATCAATAATGCACAGGCGAGTCCGGATGACGAAACTGTCTCTACCAATTTCTCCTCCCACCTTTTCCTCTTCCACGGCCACCAAAGCCTCCTCCACCGCCTCCGCCTTGGTCAAATCCACCACCACCTCCGCCCCCTCCAAACGAAGCGGAGGGACCAGTAGGCGGTTGCGGCTGTCCCATCATTGGCCCTCCTCCACCTGCCATGAACTGCATGAACTGAGCCGGGTCCATAGTCGTTGGATCCAGCCCTTGAGACGTCATGGCAGCGAACATCTGCTGCATTTGCGCTTCGTTGGGCATCGCCATTTGTGACATATCCGCTGCCGGCGCACCTGGCAAGGCGGGCATCCCAGGCATGCCACCCCCGGGGATACCTTCCACAAACGCTTTCATCTGTTCTGCTTGTTGTGTGATCTCTTTCACTTCTTTAGGCATCTGCTGCTGTTTCAGGCAGTAAGAAGCCCAGGTAAACTCGTCAAATCCATAGTTGAAATAGTCCGTTATATCAGCACCGGGCTTTCGCCATGGCTTTGATGATTCCGAGGGAAAGTCAACATCGAAATCTGTAGACATGATGGGCTTGCCAGTGGCTGGGTGCACCGGATTTCCGTTCGGATCGATCTTGGACGTGTGTCGAGCTGGGTAGTCGGTGCCAGGACGATCATTGGGAGGTTGGGATCCACCTCTGATATCTGCGGGCGTGCCTGCTTTCATTGCTGGTGTCGGTGTTGATGACGATTTCCGTATATCTGCGCCAGTTTGTGCTAAACCAGGAAGCCGCTTCGTCTGAGAACTTTGTCCTGAGCCTGGCTCTGGTTTAGGCTCGTCCTTGACGTCGATGATGAAGTCGACATCGTCCTGGATGCTGTCAGTCCCCTTGCCGTCTCTTTGGAAGCGCATCTCATACATCGTCGTCTTCCTCTTCGACTTCCTCGCCCTCCTCTTCACCATCCTCACCATCCTCCATCTTCACCTCACTCTGATGCCTCTGGGCGTTCGACTCATCGTGCTCCGGGTAGATATCGTCTTCGTCCGAGTCCATCATCTTGTCGACCCAGATGATGCGCGCACCGAAAGTGGGGGAGGGAAACAGGCCGTCGCAAGGCTGGTATTTGACGGTGGAGTGAAACACGCGCAGAATGTTTGTTACGTTTGCTTGTTTTGCGATGGAGCTTGGAAAGTTTGCGGCGTTTCCTGTCCAATCATTATCGGAGCTCCGCCGAGGAAAGTCTAACGAGCGGATGGTTCGAGAAAAAGTCCCCCCAGGACCTCTTGAAAAGTGATCCATCTGTTTACAGACCTTTGTGTGATTCTACCTCTTCCTCATACCATAGTCCATCCTATCTTAGACCTGCACCAGATCTCTCCCATTCAGTCAAGATGGTAAGTTATCTTCCCTGCGGACATGTGTCTAAAAGCCACTGTTTGCGCCGCTCTCCCTCGTAACCAGTATTGATTGACAAACCACCTCGCGCAGACTACCGCAATCAAGAGCATCCGATCCCTCGTCCCTCTTCTCGACCGCGTTCTCGTCCAACGAATCAAGGCCGAGTCAAGAACAGCTGCTGGCATCTACCTCCCCGAAAGCAGCGTCAAGGAGCTGAACGAGGCAAAGGTCCTGGCCGTGGGACCTGGTGGATTCGACAAGGATGGAAAGAGGATGGCAATGAGCGTCCAGGAGGGTGACAAGGTGTTGATTCCTCAGTATGGCGGAAGCCCGGTGAAAGTGGGAGAAGAGGAATTCCATCTGTTCCGGGATCACGAGTACGTGCAATTCACGTTATGGACGGGACGCAAATCGTGTGCTAATGGCATCAAGGCTTCTCGCAAAGATCAACGAATAAACCACACCTGCGATATCTCCCTAGTTTCCGAGCCCTGCTCCTCAGACAAGCCCAAGTCGCTACTCGACGACTATCGAAAGGACGGACTCATCATCTGTACACCATGTATCATCATCGCAGTACTCCTGCGTGTCAACATCAAAGCTTGCGACCGTGCGACATGGGGCAATGCGGAAGAAAATTTTCCATTCCAGCATGAGCGAAAAGCGCCGGGAGTCAGTTGTGCAATTTTGCATATACCATTGTGTAGATTTGAAAGGAGTACCAATATATTTGCCTTCTCCGCTCAACATGTAATTTCTTCACGTCGCACCTCTGGTCCGTGACTTTGACCGGCTCCCCTGCTTCGTCCCGGCAGAAGTGTTTCCACCTGGCTTTGCAGTGCTAGGCAGATCCCTGACCTCCAGCTCACGCCCAATAACCTCTCTAAAATCCAGACCAGAATTGCCCAACATCTCCCGCTCGTGCTGCCACACCACGTCCATACATTCTCTCCACAACTTTCCTTGCTTCTCAATTGCACTCAACTGCCTGACTAGCAAGGTGTTGAACGTCTCCAAATGCGTGTCGGCCCATTTGACGCAAGCGCTGATGGTCAACGGTGAAAAGGCCGCTTGATATATAAGCACAGTGTTCTTCACAATAGTAAAGTAAACGTAAGAGATGGAAAAGACATAGCGGTGCAGATCACCCTCGAAAACGCATTGCCGCGCTCTTTTGATGAGGGTCTCGCTCCGAGCGTTGAGGTAGGCTTCTCTTGCACGATCCTCAAATCCGAGGCGGATGAGATAGCCGACCTTGCGTTTCGTGGCTTCCATGAAAGATGGAGTCTCAATCAGTTCCCGGCTGAGCACAGTGGCAAGCTTGCCGGCGCGCTCATCAACCTTGACGCTGATGAGCTCTTGTGCGATCGAATTGCCCTTCAAGCTCTTAGCAATTTTCCGTAACTTTTCGACCTTTTCGACAGCTTCATCGAAGCGTTGTAGGGAAATTTCAATGTCCAAATCGTCTATTTGTCCCTCAACCCAGCGGAAATTCTGTTGTCGGCCATCAACTTCTATGAGGATATCGGGCTTGTCCTTGGAGGAGTTGATGCTTTCGATGATTTCGGTGTTCTTCGCCGATGCTGGGTCGCGGGCTGCAAAGTAGTTGAGGCTTTCGGACTGGAGTGGATTGCTTTGCTCCTCCTGCGTTTTGGCAGCTTTCCGAACGTCCTCGGATGCCTTTCTGAGAGCCATCAATAGACTGCCTTTGGCCTTTTCGTCACGTTTCTCGTGTCGGTAGGTGAGCGACCGTCCACCAGATCTGATTGCCAGTGCAGAGGCAATGGCCTTTTCCTCAGCTGGTGTTGTGGCCCCGGCATTCGCTACGCTAGCCGCCATGTCGATGATCTCAATGTCCTGAAGTGGCCAGCATTCCTCGGCCACCAATTTCGTTGGGGCGGGTCCCTGTTGAGGTGCATTGGGATCTACCCGCTTACGTTTCTTCGAAGCAACAAGAAGATGGTCGTTCAGAAGCACGATATGAACAGGCCGTTTTGGTTTCCAAGTAGCCGAGTCCAGCTCAATCCAAGCACCCGTCTCCGCAATGATATGCCGGCCAGGAGTAGCTGGCAAAAACTTTTGAGATTTCTCGATATTCTTCCACAGTGATTGTAGTTGAATGTTCCACATGTGCTCCAAATTCGCTACCGACGTCCTGTTTGTATTTCTCCTGGATAGTGAACCCCCATTCAGGTCGGGTGAGATGGGTGTGCTTGCGGTTCCCCCATTCCCCGTTCCCAGAGTGCCGGTCAGCTCGGTCATAAGGCCCTGAAGAATACCCATCTCGGCCTTCAACTTTTCCGCCTCTTTACTGATCTTGATGAATTGTGTTCTGTTCTGGTAGACGCTCTGCTTCAGCTCTTGAGAGTTGTGATGCTTGAGCCGCTGCAGACTGTTCTGATATTCCTGAATATCTTGTTCTGAGGCATTTGCAAGGAGATCTGTGACATAACGTTCGTGTTGAAGGTTCGGATCTCGGAGGATATCGTTATCGACGACAAGAGGACGTGAGGTTGATCCTGCTCCAGGTCGGCGTGGAGAACCGCCTCCAGAGCGACGCTTCAGGGTACCAGCTCCTGGTAGCGCGGGGACAGCGGGAGCCCCGAGGTTGCTGAAGTCAGGGAGTTGATTATATCTTGTCGAATAACGTCGTTTGACGAGGTCAGAGGTCTCGGTTGGCGCGTTGCGCTCTCGCGGCACAGCCAGGGTATTGCCAGATTTGTTCTGCGGAGGCCCTGGTTTGCCAATACCAGGACCAGAGGCATTTTGAGGTGCGCTGATAGTCGGGCGGTCTTTACGCTTCTTCCGCAACGTGAGACCCCTGGGGTCCATTATGACGATTCGAGTGGAGATGGATGAAGGAGAAGGAGAATAACTCGGAGCCTCAGGTCGTAGGAAAGAGAAACCGTTCAAAGTTCAGCCCGTTATGAAATGCGGGTCGTGCAGGTAATTGATTGACTCAATGTGCTGTGGTTGGAAGTCAGCGAGCAACACGACGAGTCTGTCGTTGCTGTCGCCTGCAGCCAAGGGATCAAGGAAATAAACTGGGGCGCCGAGAGCTCCTCTTGCTACTTTATCCATAGTACGTAACTTTCAACCTTAACACAGCTACAGTGGTTTACGATTAAGCTTATTTGGGTCTTGTCGTACTTTATTTAACCTTACCATCACTGTTTCCTCCTTTCTCCTTATGCTTATATCATAAACCCAAAAGACATACCCGCTCAATGATATGGTATAAAATGACGGGAGGTGCTTCTATGATAATCTCATCACTTGAGCTCTCCTTTCTTCAGATTACCAGCTTTCCATCCCTCTTGACTCGTCAGTTCTTGTAGATTGCTCGCTGCTTTGGCAAGATGCAGCAAATAATCAACACCAATCACCCTATTCCGTTAGCTGCCTGCCTTATCCGCTACTTTTAGGATCACGGCCATGCCCCTTGTTATGAGCGTCAGACACCTATCAGTACAAGTGCTCAACCTCTGCTCAGCCTTACCCAAATTTCCTCGGCGACCGGAACATCTGCTGACGAGTTCTACCGCTATGGCTTACATGAGCCTCACATGGCACCTCTGCTCTTGAGATACGGCAAGTCGACGCGTTTATCTGCAGGAGAATCATCAATGTTGCATTCGTGTGCGAGCCACGTCGTGCCGGCGGCACGACAACCTCGTCGGATAGACGGTACCTTCCGTATCGACATTAGCGGGGCGTCGGAGGGTATTAACCATATCTCGCAACTACAAGCAATCACCCTGGTATCTGATACCACTCTCGCCAGATAGCACCCAGTCACACATGGCATTCTAGAAGGGCCATTTCTTTGAGGCCGCATGTGTCCAATCACTTGGACAGCAATCTCGCCAACGAAAGATCGAGGTGACTTCGAAAACCCAGGCTAAGTTTCTTACCTTGACCAGGTTCAGCAATCTAAAGTCTTCGCCCATTCGCCCGTCGCGAACGCCTATCTAGGAATCGCTAAAAGGAGGTAGAGCTTGATGTGCTTATCTGCCCACAAGCTTCCATGCTTGTCGTTCTTTATCTTGGCCGGCCCAGCCCTCATGGCTGGGCTTGTCCTTTCCATTCTTTCTGTTTGATTCTTACCTTCCAGTGCCAGCAATCCAAAGCCCAATATGAGCGAACGTCGAGAGAGCCTGACCCTGCAGGACCCTGAGAAGCGAGCGAAGTCCGATGCAGTCGACCCGGCTAGCTTGGCTGACCACCTGCGTGGTCGCCAATTCAGCGTCGATGCCCACGATGTAGCCATTGTCGAGACCGACCAAGGCAAGCTGCACCGGAATCTGAGAGGTAGACATATGCAGATGATTGCTATGTAAGCCTTTTTTACCTAGGGAGCCCTCCTTCTATGGTCCCACCTTGGTGTCGACCATTGACTTCCTGTCACGGATCAACTCCTTCTCGGTGTTCGCTGGTACCAATGGATTTACTGATTATGATCTCAGTGGTGGCGCTATTGGTGCAGGTCTCTTCATCGGAAGTGGTAGCGCTTTCCAGACTGGCGGCCCTGGTGCTGTGCTCATCGGCTTTATGATCATTGGTGAGTGTCAAACAATGCAAATGATATGTGCTAGTCTAATACTTTCACGACAGGAGGCATGATGTACAGTTCATAAACTTCCCTCTCTGGCATGAGAATGTCCTAACTGACCTTGTTTAGATACCTCATGATGCAAGCGCTTGCCGAGTTGGCCGTCATGTATCCCATCAATGGAGCATTCACCATGTACATCTGCAGATTCATTGACCCTTCGTGGGGATTTGCCTGCGGTTGGCAATACGGCATTGGCTGGCTCACGGTGCTTCCTTTTGAGATTTCAGCAGCTTGCAACGTGAGAATGTTCCTGGCCACCATGGATCCCCACTGACAGCTGGCAAGATCATCCACTTTTGGACGGATGTAGAGAACGTCAATGATACCGCCTGGATCATCCCCTTGCTTTTTGCTCTTACTGTCATTCAATACTTTGGTGTGAAGGGCTATGGAGAAGTAAGTGACCACATGTGCGGTCATCGGTGTTCGCTGCTCACCAGATTAGGTCGAGTTTGTCCTCAGCGCAATGAAGGTTATCGCTTGCGTCGGATTCATGATCCTAGGCATCATAATCGATTGTGGCGGTGTACCCACCGATCATCGAGGTTATATCGGAGCCAGATATTGGTAAGGTCATGTCCAAGGCTCCTTACCACCCACATACTGACAGGGCTGTCTCGTTTTAGGCACCACCCATGGGCTGGTTTCCTTAATGGCTTCCACGGCTTCTGCACTGTCTTTGTCACAGCCTCGTTTGCTTTTGGCGGCACCGAACTCACTGGTCTGGCTGCTGCCGAGGCCCAAAACCCAAGGAGAGAAATCCCCAAGGCTACGAAACAAGTTGTGTGGCGTATCTGTATCTTTTATGTCATCAATCTCTTCCTAGTCGGCCTTATTGTGCC